CATATCCCCCACTGCCCAGCTCCCCAGTGATTTACCTTTCCTTTCCCTGCTGTGCCATGCAGCTGGTTCCTTTGAATGGGGACAGAACTTCCCTTCTTCAAGGCTCGCTCTGCCCCCTTCTAATGGGTCAGAAAACTGGACGGCAGGGCAATACTTTCCAGGATGGCCAGATCCAGCATTTGCTGCTCCTCACGCCCTTGTCACAAGTAGGCTGGAGCCTTTGGCCTCGTGCCCAAAATGGGACACCTCACGATGCCGCCTAGGTGCGGGGGGAAACCGACACCCCGAGCGGGAGAGGTGGGCTGTCTCACCCAAAAGGCTCCAGCGTGTGTGCTCTGGTCCAGTGCTCAGCTCCTCTGACAAAGAGGCTCTGATTATCTGGTGCTATGGAAGTGAGGAGCAGACAAATGAGTTCTGCCTCAGAAAGCCCTGCGGAGGTGAGAGCCAAAAGAGCTCCTTGTCTGTGGGTGTCAATTTCACCACGGCCACTGGCCTCGCCCACTTACGGTACAAGGAAACAAAGCAGCCTCTCCAAGGGAGCAGTCAGCAACTACCAGTCCCAAGCATTACCTTCTCCCTAAAGAATGGCTTGGACTGTCCCCAGCCATGCCTGTCGCTGGCATGGCTAGTTTCTCATGCCTGGATGAGTGAAAGAACCCAGAGAGAGTGTGGATTCTCAACAGCTTGTCCATCATCACACACTGAGGCAATGTTGTAGCAGCACCGCAATACAGTGTCACACGATGGCACAATGGAGCAATTTCATCCCATTAGCCAAACATTCAGAAGTACCAGCTCTAGCCAGTGCCCCTTGTTGGGCTCAGTCCTCCAGCATATCCTGCTTCAGGAGCAGCAGCATTTGGTTCATGCAGCTGGAGGACGGTTGAACAGTGAGCACCACTCCCAGGGGAGTGATGATCAATTACCTGCTTTCAATCACCAGCATTTTAATGCATCCTACTTCCTGCTCCTTCTGTCTGACATGCCTATAGCCCCTTTCGAGTAAAGCATTTACCATAGCATGGCCAAAATCCCAAGTGATGCCCAGGACCCACAGCTGAAACTGAAATCAGCGTGCACGGCACATGCTCTGCAGGATTTTGGCTTTCTGTACAGGAGTTGCTTCACCCCCAAATGCAGCTGTTTGTAGCACACAGCCAACACGGCAGTGGTACTTTGCAGCAGTAAAGGAAGGAAGTGAAGATATATGCACTCCAAGTGGAATGCCAAGGGGAATTTAGGTATTTGCTTACTGGTCTTTCCATAAGATCCCCTTGTAGGACAGCCTGCCTGGGGGCAGGGAGAAGTTTAGTAAACTCTGATGCATCTGATTTCAAATTCTATGTGCGCCTTGAGCCAGTGGAAAGTTTGACTGTTTTGCTAATTCAGGTCACAACCGAGTCTCCCGTAGTTCCCTTGGCATGAGCTGCAGTGATTCGCTAGTCAGGGATTCTGAGCAAAGAACATCTGTGGCATTGAAATGAATCCGTTAAAGCCAGACCTTTATCGATGGCCTGGGAGAGAGGGCAGCCCATATGGGTCTCTCGTAATCCACCGGGATTGTATCATTTCTGTTGCTTCTCAAATAGGATTTTTAAACATTCCTAATTCCTTTCACCTGCTAAAAACATCACAGACGTGGAAAGGATAAAACTGAGTCCACAACCAGAACAAAACCCACCTATTAACTGAGACCATCCCAGACAGAAGCAAGACGCTGAAAAGAACTTACCATGTTCAGCTGGGTCCCATTCTGTTCACTTGCACTGGGCACCAGCAATCAACCGTCTGCCAGCCCACAGGGCAGCTTAAATATTGCCAAGGAACCAGGAATTGCCAGTGAAACTGTTAACAGTTTCACAAGGAATGAGAAGAAAAATGTGTAGGGGGATAGTTAAACTAATTCGCCCTAGTTACTGTTTCAGTCCCTCTCTCCTCTGGTGTGAAGTCTGTGCTATTCTCACTATCAGGGCTTGTGGGGTCAAACTCCAAAGTGTGCGATTCTCTTAAGCAATCATTCCAGCTAAAAGAAAGATGAGTTACACTGAGGAATGGGCTCATCCAACCCGCCAAGATGAACTCCCCAAGCCCTAAGGGGAGCTGAAATCCAGCTGTGTATCTAAAGTCACAGCTAAGCCCTAGATCTGTATAAAGCAGGGGGGAAAATCCATCTCCCCCTCACTCCACAATCTTGGGACAGGGTGAGTGCTCAGAACACAAATCCAAAATCTGGATATTAACTTCTCATCTGGATCCCAATCTGAATCTAGATTTGGCTTCTGGCTTAGGCATCATCTCTGACAGAAATATATTAGAATAAATAAAGCGCTACTGTCAAATAATACATGGATTAAAAACGTTAAAGAGGGACCTGAACTCTCCAAAGCACTGAGATGCTGCAGCAGCAGAGGGATATGACCATCTGAAATAGATACCATTGTTGGCCCCAAGCATTGCTGTGTATGCCCTTCTCAGCCAGAACGTCCCATGGCACTACATGATGTCAGAGAACATGTCTGATTCAGAAATATCCCCCTGCTACCAGTGCTGGCATTAACCCATTCACGTACTTAGCCCAGGCAGGATCCACTTCCTGAGGCTGTGGGTTGAAGTCAGGATTTTAAAGTGTTCCATTCTCTTAGGTTATGTTTTACAGGCCTTTTAGCTGTCACGGTCTCTGTTCCACTTTGATGTTGTGGTGACCTCAATCGCCTGAAGGATGAGAGCTGCTGGGATCCCAGCTGCTTCCCACAGCATGGCCTTTAAGGGTGGGAAAGCACGTTCCCCAGGGACAGATCTGATGAAGCTTCACAGGACTCTAGGGAACCCATCTCATCTGTTTGTTTCACTTGCTCATTGCCTAGCTAATTGAACCAGTGTTGCCAACTCTGGTGATGCCACTGCAAGTCTTGCCGTATTGGATCTTTCTCTTAAAGCCCCTCAGCTGGACCCAAGAGACAGCAGGAGAATCTCAGCTTTCATTTTTATGCAAAGGTCAGGCCTCACCCTCCCGGTTGTGAAGGAAGGCTTGGAAATGTGACTAGGGTGAATCCCAAAGGCTCAGAAACTGGAAGACAAAGAAAAAGAACCCCACATTTTTCATGTAAGCTTATGATTTCCTCGCCCCCGCCACAGGATTTTGAGGGGCTCATAGTTAGCAATATTTTAATTGGATTTCCTGGGATCCAGTATCTGTGAGTTGATAGAATTGCGTCTGTAACCAGGGACAGGCTGACCCTCAAAAAGTTCAGATGTCAGCAGCCAGATCCTTCTGCCAGCTTCCAGACCCTTGCACCTACACAGCTGAACCGAGTCCGATTTTCAGCCCTTCCGGGTTGAAGCTGGGCCAGAAAATGCCTTGAGAACAGTCATGTCCTAGGGGATTTCTCTTCAATTTCCTTCACAGCACCCACCGTCATGGTATCTGAGCCCCTGTCTCAGTGCATGGGACCCCAGGAAGTGCAGGGACTCTGAATCCCTGTAAAAGGTAGCTAGAGGGAAGGTTCCGGTTTGGTCCAGTTTGGAGCCCAGATGCTGGTCAGGTGTCATTTTATCCCAGCTGCTCTGTCCACTGGGTCTCGACGGAATCAGACTTCTCTCTGCTGTGATTCCACTGAGGCTATTCATTTTTTTCCTAAAATTTCCTCTTTTGCTGCAGGAAACAGAGAAAACCTAACACGTGCCAAGGTCTGAAATCAAACCTCAGCTTAGCGGGGGATGATTCTGTTCTTGGTGCAAGAGGGAGACAACATCCTAGAGCTGAGCCAGGCAGGGGTGAAGCCAGGCCCACAACAAGGTGTGTGACACTGATCAGGAGACTGGCTGCTTTGTGCCTCAGCCACGTCGTCCTATTTCGGTTGCAAAGCAGTCCAGGCACAAACTGTTAATGATTAACAGCGCAGGGCTGCAGGGGCAGCTCTCAACTCATACTTCTTTTTCTAGAGTGTTCGAGGTCACCGCCAAAGAATCAACTGATCTCAAGAGCGCATGACTTAAGTTATGCTGAGGTATAAGAACGAATTTCAGCCTGTGTCAGATAATAGCTGCAGTGGTGGCTTTAGGTCAGCATAGTCAATGCCACTCAGTAGCTCATCTCAGCTGCACGTGTTCTCATTAATTAAGGGCATGTTTGAAAGTGCTCCTCAGTATTTAACTGTGGTGGGTGGGCTCTTCCAGAAAGGACCGCTGCCTGGCAATCGCCTGCTGGAATGCCTGAGGTGTGCGTGAGGCAGGCTGAGACACCTGTCCAGCTGGCCGACCCGGGTTCTGGAGAAGCCAGTCTGTTCAGTTAACAGCTGTGAAGGGCTCAGAGAGATAGGAAGGAGGTACATTTATTTGCCATGTAAGTGGCACTGAGGGCTTGCCCTGTGAATGGATTTTATCTGTGGCATTTTGTAAAACTCTTTCAAACTCAGTCTACACTTTAGGCCTATGCTGAGGCCTCATTGTCAGATTAAAACATTGCACATATGCAAAGAGCAAGAAGCCACAGCGCCTACCAGCCGCCGCAATGGGAAATCAATCACATGGTTTATTTCCTGTTAATGCAAATGCAGCAACTACCACAGGAGAGTAATCCCCTGGGAACATGAGCTCAACCTGCTCCAATTGCCTTTGAGAGGACTGCAATTCTCTGGCTCATGCTCACACTTAAATATTGACCGTTGAGCAATACAAAATGGCAGCACTATTTTAAACCAAAACACTCCCGCCTCACTCCCCACCCTACTCTGAGTACTGATTCGCAGGAAGCCTCCTGCAGAGATAATTATGCAATGATCCCTTCTGTTCTACCGCTGCTATTGAGATGGTTAAGCAAGTTAAACCTCCCTAACTGGGGCAATGATGTCTCAAGGTAATAAGAAGGGCCATATAAAATATTCAGTCTTAAGATGTGCAGTTATAAAAGCTGCCAATCACAGACATGCACCCTCTTTATAAGGCTATTGTGGAAAACCAGGGCGTGTTATAGTTTTTACCTATAATGGACTCAAATGCAGTTGGAAGGCAGAAGGCAGTAGCTTTATTTTGGGGGACAGCACACAGGTTTTGGGTAGAGACTGAATTGTGACTATACACATAGTCCTGTTATCAAATAATATAACCATATCTCAGAAGTTCTGGTTCTCTGAAAATTTTCACATAAAAATACTATCTGGAAACAAAGCGACTGGAGTTTTAGCTATTTTGTCAAGTTACAACAGGTAGCAAAGTCTATGTACAGCATTTTCATTAATGACAGTTTCAAAATAACCTCAAAGGGTTTAAATACATAACATGTGCTTTAAAAAAAATCAGCTATACACGGTATGCAGCATCTGAAACACCGAAGGGAGACAAATATGCATTGTCCTATCATAAATCAAGAAGAAAAAACACAGATCTGATAATGCAATGCTTGGGCATCTGATAATACAATGCTAGAAGCTACTTGGCACTTAAAGCTGTAAAAACTGAAAACACTTGTGGAAACATACATCACTTTCTACAGCAGGGAGTTTTAAAAAGTACTGAAAACAAAGGATTTGATGCACATAAGGTCTCCTGTAAATAATGCACCAGTTGGTGATTCTCTACTCTCCGCACAGGCTGTGATAGGACCTCTTGCTCTGGCATCAAGTGAGGAGAAGCATTTGGATGAGAAATGTTACCTAAGCTCCAGATGTTGCTGGAGTGTTTCAAGGAGCAGGATGTTAGAGCACATCAGAGTTGAAAGGCAATGACTGCTTTTTGCACAAAATAATGCCCGACAATGTGAACGCACTGATGCTTCTTGCTGTAAGGATCTTAGCAAGCTTTATCACCTGGAGGCACATGCGCAGACCACAGAAGTCTAGTAGAGCATTAATCCCAGAAGGACATCTCAGATATAATTAAATTTACCTACAGAATAATCAGAGGCTGCCAGAACAATGGAGCATGGTGCGTACAGTTCTGCAGTTCACAGAATACACTTGGCATGAAGGATTGATTGACTCCTCCATTATGTCAGATGTTACCACAGAACTACAGGCCCTCAGTAAATGATTGAAAGGTACAGCACATACTTGGTTTCCTGCTAAGCTCTCTGGCTAGCCTCAGAAGCTACACTGCAGGGCTTTAGCTGCTTGAAGGAATCCCACGGATTGCTAGACTTTTAGACTGCCAAGGGTTTTATACTTTCTATGGAGGCTTCAAGATGCTCAGTGAACTATGTCTCCTGGCAAGTCCATATAGATCTGGTGAGGAAGATGTTAATTTTCTAGTGAACTGTCCAGACCCATCAGTCATTGCCACACACCTAAGCAAATATGACACAGCCAGGAAGGAATTTCAGGATTGTCCCATTGTATAAAGCAACCGGATGGAACCATATTGGATCCATGTTTGGGGACAAAGTGGATACACCATGCACAATTCTGGGAGGTAATTTCCTGACATCGTCACTGACCTTTCCCTGCAAGAGTCCAGGATTAAAGATTCTGAGCGAAACCCTGAAGCGCCCTGACTCAACCAGTGAGGGGTCAGTGGGAGTTCTGACTGCAGCATGGCAGGGACTCTGAGGAGGAATTCAGCTTGACTCATCAGCGGTTCCTCCCAAGGCTCCCTGGAGCGCATGCTCCAGTGGCAGGTCCATCACCCTTTCAAGGGGTATGCCATGTGCTTGCTTCTGTGCCCGACCAGCTCTTGCTCACTGTGTAGGGGGCAGGCCCTGGCCCTGCTCTCCCTCTGACTCCTGCAGAGCAGTGCCTGTGTCCCACAGTGGGAGAGTGCTGAGCCCCTGTTACATGGGAAGAAGAAAACGCTTTGTGCGCCCACAACAGAGTCCTGGGCAGGGATCCCAAGGTTTACTATTGCCGACATGTACAGATTCTGAAAAACATAAGCAGGTGTGTCTGCAAACCTGATTCAACAATACACTGGAAATCTAGGGCACTAAAAGTAAGATCCTGTAGTTAGGACTAACACAGTGTTTGTCTTAACTCTGTAACCCTGCCCCACCCCTACGTCCATCCCAGGACCCATCCATGGTGCCTTTTCACAGAAGTTTTGCCTACAGTGTCCAGATTACCATTAAACAAGCCCCTTTGCCTTGGTCCATGGTTCTGATTGGTGCTAACATGACAGCAGCATATTTACAACCAATAGGAACCCATCGCACTTTGTTGGCAATAAAGTGTTGCACCAAATGTCACCACAAGCCCATCACCAGGCAAGGGGCGAGGTCATCCTGGGACTGCGCTGGCTTTCGCAGGCCTGCACGTCACTGAGCGCCCTCTGCATGGAGAGAAGGAAACAAAACGAGACGTGTCATCAGGCAAAGCCAGCTCTTCATGGACAATAAGACTGCTTCAGACTCGCAGAAACACGCAGGACTGAGCTCTGCCCTCAAACTGCTCCATGCAAATTCTACCCAAGTCAACGAGTGGTGAGCATGAGTGGCTGAGGGCAGTAACTCTGGTTGCAGGGACAGTGCCAAGTAGAGAGAGGATCAGGCCTATACCCAACTTTCCTCTTCTACAGCAAGTTTAGTACAGGTGCAGGGGACTGCACTGAGCCTCCGAGACTGAAGTCCTCTCTTCTTCCACAGAACTAGTACAGCATGCGCTGTGCAAAGGCAGGTTTCCTGTGACAGTGCCCTGCGGGAGTGCTTCAGGGCTGTCCCGGGAGGACTGTCTGCAAGGATACCTCTGTCTCTGCACCCTTTCCATCCTTAGCCTTCTGCTGGGCCCATTGGCAAGGGGTGCCAACTAATGCCAAGTCTGTTGTGGAACTCGCTGCCCCTATGCTTAGATTCAAGCCCATGATCAGTGTCCTTCACAACAGCCCATCAGGTGGTAACAGCAATTGTTTCACTTTCCATCTGGTCAATATTCAGCATGGTGACCTAGAGCTGAAAGGCTCTGAAGTATCATCCGAGTCTCCTGAGCCAGCCAATTCCTGATTTGCTTTTCTTTAAAGATTTGGATTTTACTCACATTCAGAGCCAAATATTGAGCTAAAGCTAAACTAAGCCCCAGTAGCAGGTGATGCAGCAAAACCCATCCCGGGCCTTTACGGTGAGACCCCACCCACATCTGCTGGCTCTACAGCAATGCAGCTCACCTCAAACTTGCTCATGAACTCAGCAAAAATGCCAAAAAAAGATTCAGATGTGGTCTCTTTGGAGTCTTCCCCAAAAAAGGACAGCACTTTGCCGAATTCCTCCATGGCCTTATGCTGCAGGTCATCCAGAGATTGCCTCGTGGGATGGGCGCTCTCCAGGAAAGACTGAGAGGAGTGGTTTAAGGGAAAACTACACCATACTGTGGCAAGATCTTGAACAGATGTTGCTTATAAAGGGGTGGGTTTTCATCTACAGCCCAACAAAGGGTCCCCTGCAACGTGAGCACAGCAACTGTGGGCTGAGATACTAGTTAAAAAGAAACCCACACAAAAAAGGGAGTTTGTTTTGCACAGGCAATGTCTCTGCATCCATCTCCTACAACACAGGGAGAGACAACACCAAGAGCCTTCTGCCCACAGGTGAGTGGCTTCCCCCATGATAACTCTGCAAAGGCATGAGCACCGGCAGCCTCAGTGTGGCTCCATTGGGAGCCCTCTCACCTCTGGGTCATAAGGGTGGAGTTCCATACCATGCTCTTCACCAAATGGTGCCTCCTTACTAGATGGCCGGAATGCTTAACAAACACAGGGATAAAGAAGGTAGATAGTGATGTTTGTGATTTTCCCCTTTTATGGAAGGATACATTCATCACAATAGCAAATTTGTCCTCTTCAGCAGCTGGCATGCTGTGGCAGGCAGTCTCTATTTCACTGATGGTGGTGTGAAGGTCGTTGAGATCAGCTGTTAATGTTCTCTGATTCACTGAATAAGGAGGAGAGTTTAAAACAAGGTCATGAAGATAGTTCTGAGTCAGTGCTGGCTGCTGCTAAACCAAAAGCAGCGAAAGTAAGATCCATGGGTCAAAAGCACACCAAGGGGCTTTACAATGTGGTCTACAGCTGCCCTCATCTTTAATGCAAAGGTTCTTCTTGTGGAGGTATATGTCTCAGCATATGCTGCTCCCTCTTGACCTGAGTGACCAAGCTGCATTGCATTCTGGGTGAAGCCAGACCTCCAGGAGGGAACAGAGACATTCTTACTGACCTCTACCTGAGTGAGCTACCCATTCTCCCAGAAAGAATTCATGATTGTCAGAAGGAGACATGCAGAGAACACTGGAGAGAAACTGGGTCTTGCCAAGTGCAAGAGGCCTGGGGGATTCACTGGCAGAGAAGGAAAGGTAGTTATGGATAAATAAGTACTTTGATGTGGGAAGGGAATTTAGTGAGTTTAACCACAAAATGAATGGATGGAAGGAAGGATATTGACTGTTAAGTGGTGGCGGGGGAGCAGGAGCTGGGGAGAAAAAACTAGTAATAAAGGAAGACAATTATTTTAAGAAAAGCTAGGTCAAGTGAGAGCACTGGGCAGGAATATAACAGGTGCAAACAGGCTAAGAGGAGAAAATTAAAATCTAGGGCCCTGAATCTCCTGTCTCTTACACTACACCAGTTTTATGCAAGTGCAACTCCACTGACTTTGACTGAGTTACTTCCAAATATCAGGGAGAGAGAAGAGACTTAGGCCCCATGTATGATATTCAGCATGTCCATGCTGTATGTTGGGCCACCACTGACACACGTGCATGACAAGCCAAAGGACCAGGAGACCTTTCAATTATATCTCAGCAACACCTGATGTCTGCAGTTAAAATGTGAACTCCTTGGAGCAGGGCCTGGGGTGGCCGTGTGTGTCGCTAAGGCACACAGCACAGAAACATTATTCTAAACAATCAAAACGCTGGGATCTGTAATCATCACAGCCACCTTTGTCACACCTGCACACTCAGGAGGATGGGGCCTGCAGATCACGTGTGGCTGTCAGGTCCCCAGCATGGCTGTGATATGACCCACAACAGGCCTGTGTTTGAGGTGCTTGTGAGCTCAGTACTTCTGCACCAGAGTCTTTCAGACATCTGGTCCTGACAGCGTGATGCTGATGTGCCATGAGAATGAACCAACCCAGCTGATGTCTGTGAATATTCAATATAACAACTGGGGCCTCATCTTTGCTGCTAAAAAGGTATGTTTTTCACAGCAGGGTAACTAACACACAAGAACAATCCTGAGGTAAGAACACTGTCCAAGGCACTTTGGTGTTACAATGAAGTACATTAGGCCAGGTCAGCACTAATGGGTCTGGCTTAAGATCAGCAAAACCAAAGAAGATACAAGGTCAGACCAACTACCACTGTAGGCAACGTCTCCTTTGGGGTCTAGCGATTGCTGCGCTGCCCAATGGGCAGACTCTGGGCTGAGTTCAAACACACACCCAAGAACTGGAACACTTCCCCCAAGGCATCTGAACTCTGAGCCTCCTGAGGCTGGAAATCTCACAAGAGCAGGCTCCCTTCTGAGATCTCCAATACTTCCTGCTTCCCACGGGGCCAGAAACACCAGGGACAGAACCTTCCCTATGGTATTTCTCCTCCATTGCTCACCAGGACATGGACGGGCCGAAGCACAGTATAAAGAGTAACTAATATTAAAATGGGAACCAAATGTTTTCAAGACACAAGAAAGGTTCCCTTTAAAGATAGGTCCAAACTAAAACTCCAGATCCAGATACATCCGTGCTTTATGGTTCCAGCCCATCGCTAGTTCTCATTTATCCAGACTACTTTCCCTGTCTCTATGTGTGTCAAACTACTGCAGTTCATATGCTATGCCTAATGGTGGCATAGAACCAAGAGGGGGGCGCAGAGAGGCCAGAGGCAGGGGAATCCTTCATTGGCCCTATATCAAGACAGGTGACCCTGAGGATGCTCCTTGTTTATTTACCTTTGGCAGCGAGCGGAACTGTAGGAAGGTCCTTGGCAAAACCCAAAAGTTCTGGGAAATGTTGGCTAAGTGATTTGGCAAGAATGTGCAGGAAAGTGGATTTCCCATCAACGGTCTTGGTTGTGTTCAGCTAGAACAAAGCAAAACAGGTAAGGAGATTCCTACACACGTGAGAGTGGGTTTTTCACTGACCATTCAGCCTCCATGTGCAGTTTCCAAAATACTGGCAGAAACACTCACGCGCCTCTGCTGGGATCACTCTGCACTCACGTCCCCAGGAGCTCCCACCAGCAGCAACGGCACGTTATGGATTAATGTTTAAATGTGGTGTTTAATGTTTACACAGTATATTAAATCCAGATTAGTGAAATGGAGAAACTAGATGAAACCTTTCCCCATGTTGGGGCAATGTTCCCTCTAATTTTTCCCACCCATGTGCAGAATGAATTTTGTTAAGTGCACCAATATGGAGGTGAGGTGTGACACATCATCTTCATATAGGTACACCTAACAAAATTCATGTGGTTGGGGTAGGGCCGAGGGGTTCAGAATGTGGCAGGGGGCTCAGGGCTGGGGCAGAGGGTTGGGGTGCAGGGGTGTGAGGGCTCCGGCTGGAGGTGTGGGCTCAGGGCTGGGGCCAGGGATGAGGGGCTCAGGGCTGGGGCAGAGGGTGGGGTGCAGGGGTGGGGGGGGAGGGCTCTGGGGTGGGGGCAGGCAGGAGGGGTTTGCGGTGCAGGAGGGTGCTCTGGGGCTATGGCGGGGAGAGAGGACTCCCCCCCGGCTCTCTGTCCCTGCAGCAGCACCTGGGCTGCAGGGGGAGAGGCACCTCTCCCCGCTGCAGCAGCTCTGAAGCTGGGGCCGTAGGATAGGCGCCCCCTCCACCGGCCCCAGCAGGTCCGGGTCGTGGCATACTTGGGGCAGGGGGGCCGCCTGGCATAGCTGGGAGCCAGGATAGGTTCAGGCCAGGGGAGGGGTACCTGTCCCCTGGCAGATCCCCAAGCAGGTTCCCTGAGCGGCCTCCGTGGTGCTAAGTAGGGTGCTGTGCAGCTTACAGGGAACCTAGTTTGGGGGCCCTGTGAGTCTACCTCCACCCCAAAGCATTTTCTCTTTAGGCCCCCTACATCACCAGCACACCTGAGCTGCATGAGGGCACAGACAGGCACTCAGATACTACAGCAATGGCTGCAGTATAAGAACCTATACAGAATAGCAGGCCTTCTCCCTGGAGATGTCCATGGTGCCACCACAGCACCATTATTAGCTCCTGCCAACCTAGGAACCGAGTGTGAGTCTGAGACCCCCACAGGGAAGCACACTGTGTCACCACTGGCCCAGCCATGCTTTATAACCCCTGCCTTGGTACCCCCACCCTGCCACTAACATGCTCCCTTCAAGGGGCCCTGAAATGGCCACTGCACTCAAGAGCTGTCTTTGGAAATACATCCACTACCCTGGTCCCTACCTGAGCTCCCAGAATTCATCAGCATGAGAACAGCATGTGCAATGAGGATTGTTCCCATTCGCCTTACCTCAGTGAGGAAGTTGATTTTAAAGCCTGTCGTTTTATTGGTCTTGGGTTGCCCGTTATTCAGATAGTTCCCCATTGCCAGCACAAACTGCAAAGAGAACCTCCCATGAGTGATCAGTCACCGAACCCTGAGCTGTTACTCTCCCTCCCTCCCGTCCTTCCCTTCCCACTGTGTCTCAGGCTGGGCTGGAGTGGACACATCAGGAACTCAGCAGGGAAGCTAGTTTTGGTGTAGCACCTGGATCATGGATAGAGAGCACCCCTGTGGAATAAGCTGAGAAAACAAGCTTATTTGTGTGCCAGATCAGGACATAATGTGCACGCTTGGAATGCTATGAAGGGAAACTGCAGTGATTCATTACAATGCATTATACGGACGAATAAATGTTCAGGGCAAAATTCTGCCTGCTCTTTTGTGAATGCACAGTCAGTCTCTTCTTCACCCTGGCTCACCTGCACAGGAGCCAGGCACAGTCCAGGCAGAGCACTCCCTTGAACTCTACGCCCCGGGGCTACCAACAGGCTAGCAGCATCCCAGCCCCATGGGGATTGGTCAGTTAGGTGGGGTGTGGCCAGAGCTCTCTATTTCCCTGGCTCTGTCTGGCAGGAGGTGCTGCGAGGAATGTGTGCCACTCCTTTCGAAGACAAGTGTAGGATGCACAACATAGCAGGCTCAGCACCATCAATGCTCTCAGTCAGCTCTGGAAACTCTTCCAACTCCAGTTCTTTTTCTTCCCTAATGAGGGCTACAAAACATACCACGTTGGCCATCTTCAGCATTAGCTATCTCTGAGTAATGACTGTGCAATTATTTCAATCGAACGGTCTTCAGGTATGTAAAAGATGATGATACAGAAGATGGTGATCAATTGTTCTCCATGTCAGGCTGGATATTAGGAAAAACTTTCTAACCCTAAGGATAGTTAAGCACTAGAACAGGGTGCCTAGGGAGGTCGTGGAATCCCTGTCATTGGAGGTTTTTAAGAACAGGCTAGACAAACACCTGTCAGGGATAGTTTAGTCCTGCCTCAGCGCAGCAGGAATGGACTAGATGATCTCTCAAGGTCACTTCCAGCCAGATATTTCTCTGATTCTATGAATCAGGACATACGGCAAAAGGGTCATTTTTCCACCCACATACATAACTCAGCTGAACTAATTCCGAGGCTGTGTCAGCAGTGGGCTGAAACAAAGCATGGAAAATGGTAGCCTAAAAAACAACAGGGAAAGAAAGTTCTGAGTAACTGGGAAGGGAGGAAGGTAGGGAGGTAGAATGGAAACTGGAACATACCACGAACTACAGTGGCTGCTTCAAGCACGTTATCATGTTTATTAAAAATGAATTCTCCATGCAGTTTGTGGGAATACCCACTGCTGCTTTATTAGGTCTGTAAGAGCAAACAGTGTCTCTCTCAGCAAAAGCTGCCTCTGCAGTTCCCAGCAGGTGCTCCAGTCTGATGGTCTAGAGACCAAGGCAAAGAATGCAGTTCCCATGTGAATATACAGGAACTCCGGAGACTTTCAAAGTCATTTGGGGGTCTGTTATTTACACGTTTGGTTACTGACTTGGAGGGGGCTTGTGCAGTCAGAGAGCACAGTGGGAGTTACAGACAGAGGATTGTCCTGAAGGATCTGCAATCCTGCCTTAAATTCAAATGGGAACTTATGTCCTGATCCATCGCATCGCACTGGCCATGAGGCAGCTTCTTGCATGATAGTTAATGATGATTTGTATGCTGTATTTGACCCCTAACTTTGTGCAGGCATGTGTGCGTGATAGATTTACTTTGGCTTGCAACTCGAGATAGTAAACAGAATCTCCTTTATATTCTGCAGCAGTCTCCCTTTCAGGATCAATGTGCTTACGTTTTGAGTATGTAGGCCCTGCCCTGGGATCTGTAAGCCTGTTGTATCGGGAGCTCTCCTGTTGATTCAATAGCAAAGTGCCCATGCTCTTTGCCGCACATGGAGGTCTTTAGTGAAAGGGTCACATGTAAAGAATTCACTCCACAGAGCCATCCTTTCCCTTCCTTTCTGTCCCTCTGACCGTTCCTTCACAGTGGGGCTGTGCAGTTTTGGAAATAGGCTAGGACCCCCAGGGCTGAGCCTTCAATAAAGTGCTCTCAATGCCTTTCATTAGAAAAGGCCAGTCACAATCACTGGAAGATGATTCAAGGAGAGGCCCCAAGACCTGTCATGACAAGAAGACGGAGGAGCTAAAGGAAAGTGGGGGATCCCCTTGTCATGAGAGCTGGAGACCACCGCTGGAGCTATGTGAATTTCTCATATATACAAGTTAATCTGTAACCAGCTACTGGCTCCAGACTGCTAACTAGGTGTGATCTGGGTTGCTGCAAAAAGGTCATTAAGACATTAAACATTCATTTGGAAATGTCCTTTGTCACATTGTGTTCTGTTTGTTTTACTAGTTTCTTCTAAAGCATGAAACTGATAGCAAGGGGCAAATCTACAAGCCCCACACTCAGTGGATCAGTCAGGAAGGCAGGGATAGGCCGCTGCAGTCCAGGACCAAGCTGGACAGCAAGGGAAGAAGGATTTTTTCCATATGGCAAAAATTTTTTGGCTAGCTAGGACTTCACAATTGTCACTGTGCTGCACACCACAGCCCCTCAGATGTTCATAGCGACTGCTAGGTACAGCTCACATCCTCCTGCTCCAGAAGCCCAGGCTCTGGCCACTTGAGCTAAAGGAGAATCTCTTAGGCTCTGTAAGCCCACATACAGCCAACCATTCTGCTGCAGTGTTAACATGCAGCCAGCTGTCAATTCTACCCCGAGCCCAGGGTTGGTCCTTGATGGAATAAACCAATAACCTGGACTGGATCAGCATATGCATTAACACTCTCCCCATCCTTACACCATACATGCATTCCAGAGGAGGGCAGCGTTGGGACCGTCTGGAGCCCAAAATGCTGCTGTAGAACCCATGAGGCCCCTACACATGGATGCAATATGTGGCCTTCCATCTCCAGGGCACAGAATGGAGAAAAAGAGTGAAAAGAAATAATTGCATGAGTTCAATGAAGCTTAAAAAGAAATTGACCTGCTCCCCATAACTCCTCTGCATTTCTCCTTCTAGAAGGGCCAGCATTAATACTAGCAAAACTAAGTCTGCTGCTGCTTGGGGCTTTGCTCTTTCACGGTCCGTGCAAGCTCTGCAACTCATGGGTCAGACCTATCTCCTCAGCAGTGAGACCATGGGAGAAGGAAACAACCCACTGGCAGCTCCCCGCTCTGGGAATCAGAGCAGAATAGAATGTCCCTCTTCTGGCAGAGTGGGCCTTAAAAAACATGAAGGTGGTCCTACCTTAGAGGAACTCCTGGAGAGCTCAGTAGCTACCACCGCTGCCTTACCTACTGTGGCAAGGGGAAGGCCTTAGAGAGTGTACTGTTTCCATCTGTCTTTCAGTTTCTCCTGAGAATTGTGATGCCCCAGCAGGCTAATGCAACACCACCACTGATCCAAGGATGCTGATGGGCTAGAGGGAGCCCTCAACAGGCTGGCACACTGTGCGCGCTTCGCTGGGTGGCGGACCCTGGATGCCTCCCAGTGGCTATTACTGGTAATGAGGTTTGTTCTCTGACCTCTAAGATCTTAGCCAGTTTCTTGCTGCTTTTCAGCTCCAGGGATGCCTTGCAAATACACTCATAGCTGGCTTTGATCTCCTCTGCCTTCTCCTGCAGGGTGGTCTTACAGTAAAGGCTGCGTAGCCGGGTTTTATATTCTGGTACTGATAACATCTGAGAAAAAAGGGAACAACAAATTACTGGGGTCACTGTTGATTAACTTCCTCCCCTCCCACTTAACATGCAGTGTTCCCCTTAATGCAGAATTTCCCTCTACTGTGAAGCAGCGCTTGCCTGCCCTCTCTCAGGTATCACTGGGTGGCAACTGTGGGTAGCTACTGATGTTTTTATCAGCAATCGCTTTCAACTCACTGCCACAGACTGGGTTTAATGCCAGTATCCACCAGAGAGTCTGTCACTAGGAATCAGAGTAACAGCCGTGTTATTCTGTATTCGCAAAAAGAAAAGGAGTACTTGTGGCACCTTAGAGACTAACCAATTTATATGAGCATAAGCTTGAGCTGTAGCTCACGAAAGCTTATGCTCAAATAAATTGGTTAGTCTCTAAGGTGCCACAAGTACTCCTTTTCTTGTCACTAGGAAGAAACTCACAGCTGGGCAAAAATCGCACAATCAAAGCTCAAGCTCAGCTGTTTGGTAACACTGATTTGTCACAATTCCCATCCATTTATAGAGTGGTAACCACATGGCAAGGGAGATTTGGGAGACGCAAATCGCAGACCCAGAGGTCGATATGCTTTACTTTGGTACCTGAATGCAGGGCAGTTCACAAGGCCTGGCCACATACTTATATGTCATCAGCTAAACCAAAACTCAAGAGCAGATCTGGCTATTCCACTGAACACACACCAGCCCCCCACCCCAATAGTGCTGTGATCCAATACTAACAAGCAGATCACAGAATTCTGATAATCCTTTCCTCTCTGCATTGTGTTCCTGGGCTGTAAAGTTGAAAACTGGTCAGAACATTGCATTATTTCCTTTAAAAAAGGAGCCAGCTCTGTGAAACCTACTAACCATTACACTAGAGGAAATGCAACCCTGGATTCTGGAACTTCCTCCCTGACTCACTTCCACCCTCCCCTCATTAAACCAGTTTTTTTAAACACCCTCCTGCCAAGAGGCCTATGAGCCCTGAGTCTTATCTCAAAAAAACACTGGCAAATTAGACCTGAGAAAAATCTACAAATAAAACCAAGTCTAGTTAATAATCCCAGAGGTGCCGAGATGTAAGCTAATCCTCCCTGCTCAACCACGTGGACTCCCAGGTGCTCCACCTCCCTCCCCGGGTCTGCATAATGTGGGTTTAGGCTGTAGGCTCTATTGTGCAGAGACCTTGTCTCCACCCATGAGTGTAAAAGGCCCAGCACACTGTTGGTGCTACACAATTTATACCTGATAACACCTGTAGCTGTTTGATTTGATGCAGGTTAGTCTATGACACAACGCGCAATTATTCTCCTATAGCTGGCTGAACTGCTTCCATTTACACTGGCTGGAGTTTCAGCAGGACCATCCCAATGACCCTGCAGTGACCCAATGACCCCATGCCTCCCCCATGCCCAACCACATGGCAGCTACCTGCAGGACAAACTGGTCTGGCTCACTCAGCTTGCTGGGATTGTCCTGATAGTTCTGGTACTGCTGGACCTCCTCCGCATCGGGCGCATACAGCAGGAGCTGCTTGATGTGAGAGGACTCCAGGCGGTCGCTCTCCATTGTCATGAGAATCTGGCGCAGCTCGATGTGTGAGAGCTTGAGGTGGGCTATCAGGATGGCTGGGGAGGAGGAGGAGGAAGGGCATCAGCTGGGGCACAGGGAGGAAGCAGACTCCAAAGGCTGGTTACAGTCTATATGAGTTTTAGTGTTAGGGAAAAGCTGCCGGGTGGACACCCCAAAGAGAAGCTCCATAGGGGCAGGAGGGCAGCCTCTTGGCCTCTCTGCTGAGACTGTTGGCAAGAGGGCCACCTGAGGAGCTGTTTTTGTGATGTAGACACCTGTCCAACAGGAACTGGGCCGGGACAGTTATATCTTTTCACCCGAGCCACCAAACCACCATCAGATGGTAAGAACTTTCAGTCACTACCCAGCTGGGCTGGATTGGAAGATGCAATCCAGAGGTAGAAGACTCCATTCCCTTTCCCAGCCCCCTTTATCCAAAGTGTGTTTGGAATATGGCTCATTTACATATATCCGAGTGGAAGCAATGCAGGGCATTAGCCTGGGTGACAGAGCAGAAGCATGTCAGGGTCTAGTCTCTCCATGGAGCTCCCCTAGGATTAATGGGATTCAGGTGCATGATAAAGTCAAATACCTAACGGTAACATTCTGCCTTGTTCTATGCGGTGCACAGGGGGTGGAGGACACATGAAGCCTCTTTCTCCTCTGCACCTCACAGCATTCCCATGCAGGAGCCTGGCAGAATGGTGACCTGTCACTCTACTGAATGCTAGGCAGCAGGACCAGGCTAACGTGTCCACTTGCATTCCTTGGATTCCAGGGGGAGTGGCCAAGTTGTCTGGGATCACCATCAGGACCTCACCCCCCATCTATGTGCCTGCTGGTGCTTCATCCAGAGACAGGCGCTGGGGCAAGGCACACTGATCCTTACTGGAGCAGTTGTAAAGATCAGCAGAGTGTGCTGCCCTCAGGTGCTTCTGGCCATGTTCTGCAGTGTCCTCTGCCTTGCATCTCCTCCCTGCCCGCCACTCTCCACAATGTGGGAAGAAAAGGCTCTTTCCTGGGGCTGCCCCATTATCCGGAGCTCTATCCACCCCACTCCAAGCCCGTGAGTCACATCCCATCTTTATAGTTCTCCTTCAAGCCTTCCTTTCATTAGCTTAGGGCTGACTCTCTCTGCTAGCCTACAAAAGGCACTGTATTGCAGTGGCCTCTATTGTCCTGTACTGACCACTGCACCCAGGCTAGCTGGGATGTACCTATTTATCTTTGCTCTCTTTTTACCTTTCCAGTTCTCTATACTGCCAGGTACTGCCGTTCCATCTCAGGACCTGTTTAGGGTTTTGCTTCCACTCTGACATTTACTTACATGTGTTGTAGGCCTTTTTGTGAGACAAAATTTCAACCACATCTTTCTTTTTAAAGGATTCAGGCAATAGAGTTGGCTCTGGAAGAGAAACTGAAAGATTTAATCAGATGTAAGGACAGGCTCAGCTGACTCCAGCACAGAGGAAACTGGGCTGAAAACAGTGAGATAATGAATGAAAGTGAGGAGACATGATGCTTTGGGCACAGGAATGGCTCCGGGAATCCTTGAATTCTGTAATTCAAAGATCTCCTCAATGGAAGACTCATGCTGAGCTGAAAAAGGTAAAACAAGAGGTGAGATACACAGAAAAATCCCAGATTGCTCCAGAAACTTACCTGGGTGACAAGAAGAGGAGTACTTGTGGCACCTTAGAGACTAACAAATTTATTTGAGCATAAGCTTTCGTGAGCTACAGCTCACTTCATTGGATGCATTTTCCACTGAATGCACCTGATGAAGTGAGCTGTAGCTCACGAAAGCTTATGCTCAAATAAATTTGTTAGTCTCTAAGGTGCCACAAGTATTCCTTTTCTCTTTGCGAATACAGCCTAACACGGCTGCTACTCTGTTACCTGGGTGAGTTAGTACCACCTCACCCTGCCAAAAAGCCTCCCAGACTAGCACCCCCGAATGACCCTCCAAAACCACTGTCAGATTTATTATCTGACCACAGAAATCCCACTCAGGTTTTATTCTTCTCAATTCAAGTGAGTCACAGACTCTGCCTTTCTAATGCTTAGTCATTACTTCCTCCCACACCCAGGAGAGCAATCGGAAGCCACCCATCCACCTTCCCCCAGGAGACAGACGGGTTATCACACCCCCATGTCCCCCAAGAGACAGACCTGACCTTCCCCCACACACATACACACTCTTTTTCAGCTATGGAACTGATCTTCATTCATTAAAGGTTGCTCTGCTAGGAAGACAGACCAGGACTCCCGAGTTCATGCTTAGAGCTCCACCTGGAGTACTTTCTAGTCCATTCAGTGCCGTTAGCTTCTGACCCTCAGTGTGTGATTTGCACCCACAGACTTGACCTGTGTCACATAACTGGGGTGCCAGCTAACCTCAGTGGGGCATATACGCTGTGTCTACAGCAAAGCCATGATTTAATGAGACTCTGTCCACTAGGCCTAGGGCCAACATTTAGATTTGTGTAAAAAATATTTTACATTTGAAACATATAAAAGGAGAAGGGGGTTCCCAAATCTTATTATGCTTTCATGACTTTTTCAGGGCCTGGTTCTCAGCAAGGCAGATGCCCAAAGCTGCAATTCTGCACATAATTTGCAAACTCAGATACCAGTACTGTGAGCACAAATCAAGTATTTGTGCATGCAGTTCGCCAATTAGATGCCCGATTGGCCATTTGCATGTGCCAATATCCTAATATGCAGAGAACTGTAGTAACTGTGTACACTATTTAGATACAAAGTTATGCATGTGTTTTTGGTGCAGGTTCAAGCTGCTGGTATTTGAAAACCAGGCTCTTAATGATAAGGAAAAGAAGTTTTTGCATGTCAGCTTTCCCATGTAGTGTGGGAAGCCGAGATACAGCTGCATGAGAACAAGTAGTGAAACTGAACATAGAAAGTGAAACTATCCATTTGAGTTTCACAGCCCGATTTTGGTTGAAAATAAACAAACAGCATCACTGAAGAATATTAAGGGAGATTTTAAAATAATCTCCACTTTAATAATCTGAGTTGTTATTTAGTATCGTGTGGAAGAATTATTGGTAGACCATTATATATTACTTCTGTGTTGACAGTGTCCCTGGAAATAGACATTATATTACTGATTACTTAGTTCTTTCACCAGAAAGTGTTCCCTATGTCTGTTCTGCATCAGCTCTAGGTTCTAGTGGCAGCATGGCTGTTCATAAGTGGTTTACTTACTTGCAGGCTTTTGAGTTCCAAAATGAAGCTCCAGGTCGAGGTATTTGACCATATCACTCAGTTTGTCATAATCTGAGTCTTCTCCAAGCTGCAGGAGGAGGAATATAGTCAGTAAGACCCTGTCCCAGGAGGAGATCTCCATGCTGCACGTCCCCATTCTGTGCTGCGTTCCCACCCCAAAAGCCCTAAACTATGCAGCCCCAGAATATGTAGAGACAGGTGCATTTTTGTGGCATTTTCCTTATAACTGGGGTTTGCCCACTACAAAGCCATTGCAGACACTGGAGTCTATGTGGTCATGAATTTCTCTCTAACAATGTCCTGGAGCAGAGGTATTTTTTAATATCGGAGTCTGACTACACCCCACAGGATCATTCTCTGTTCAGAAGACAGTCCCACTGGAGTTAATTTAGCAGGCTGTATGACATTTAAATTTAAAAAAATAATAACTTTTCAGCATGTTTCTTGGGCAGATATTACTTCACTAATGCATACGATGGGAATTACACAAACCTCAAGGGCCTTTTGCATTCAAAAAAATCACTGAGCAGAAATACTTCATTCCCAGGCCCCCCAAAAGGGGAGTGAGAATCAAATTTACAGGCAGAGTACTCCAAGTTAATTCACAGACTAAAATCACTTGGTGAATTAGAGACCTGCATGAAAGACTGCCCCGCTGTTCATTTCTAAGTTTTCTAACGCTGTTTAGGGAAGAAAGTACACAGCTTGGAATTTAAATCTCACAGGGCTCAGCTTTTTCCAAATCAATTCACAGCAACTAACATTCACCTCAATCAAGTCAAATCCTATCATTTTACCTGAGATAAACAGCTGAGTTCTGTGTCACCACTAGGGGGCCAATCATAGTCTACAACACCGTCTAATGAACACTTCTGGTTCTAGCCTCTCATTCATCTCTCCAGTTGTAATGCACCCATCCCTGTGCTGGCTGGCAACCTGGCTGGCATTCTTCTGCTTTCCAGCATGTTCACAACTTTTAGCCCACCCCTGTCGATAAAAATGCAATTTCCTCCGGCTGGTGATTGATGACAGCTCCTGCCCACACTGACCAAGCCATATGGATATAAAGGAATATTCTGCAGCGTGCAGCTGGGGCAGATCTTATTTGATACGTTTTCCACTAATAATCACACCTGACCCTTATGTGGTTCTTTGGGTTCTGATCCAAACAAAGCAAGGATGAAATTAAGTGAGAGGCACCACATAATACAGCAGAATAAGAACTGACACCTTGGGATAGATAAGTGAGTCCACCTGTTTCAGTTTCTTGCCTAAGGAGTGGCCAACCCCTGATATTCCAGGGGAAAGGAAGAACACCCCCACAGAATGCACCTGGCCAACTGGAAATGCTGCTGCACATGAGGAAATCTTCTTTCCTGACCCCTATAGTGTATGCCTTGGAGCCTGAGATTTGATTACTTGGATTGTTAACTTTGCTGATGTAGACGTCAGTGTGACTAATGGACCCAATGTCATCCTGAGCCTGAGTGCTGTCATTCCAGTTGCTGGGTTCCATACTGTACCTGCCCCCAGATGGTGCCTTCCGAGTTCTCCACTTGCTCCCACCGCAGCCTTTTGACGCTCATGTGGCTGGATTCACTCCTGCGATGTACGAGGCCCCGCTGCAGCAGGGGGGGTGCACATGGCACTGGTGGGGGAGGTGGGGGAGGAGGAGGGGGAGGAACTGGGTGTGAGTGACTCCCTAGGGTTTTGGAGAGTGGGGAGGAGATATTTCTGGTGGCCTCTGAGCTCAAAGTGACTGGTCTTGGATCATGGAACTGCGGTGGGGGCGGGGGCGGACTGAGTGGGGGAGGGGGGATGTGATCGGATAGGGTGGAGTAGGTCAGAGAGCTCCCTTCATCGCTGCTGCTGATGTACTCGCTGGCACTGCTCATATCATTGGTGACATAGCTGCCCTGGTCATCATGGAAACTCATCTGATTTAGGAAAAAGAGAATATAACTACACCATGAGAAAAGCTTCTACTCCCAGCCACTGGGCACAAAAGCCCACAAGGGTACAGGCTATAGCTCGAGTTAGCACAACTCGTCAGCCATTAACATGACCACTCTGTAGTGTGGACACAGGCTAGCACCTAGGACACAATTCACTGGGAAAGAATTCACATCTTCCTGCCGTGCAAAGAAGCATGATCTTAGTGCCTCACGGGAGGAGTGCAGCGCCCGTGTGCATTCAGCAGCCTCAGTGGGGCCACTCTCACTCAAGCTAGGCTGACTGGAGAGCAGTAATGTAAGTGTAGATAACTTGAAGTTACCTCTACAGTGCAGTCAGGCCCTGGGAGAGCTCTCGGCCCTAGGATCGCAGTGTTGCTGTACAGCTCAGAAGTCTCCTTCATTGACCCCATCCAGCTACTTCTGCAGGAGCCTCCCCGAGATATAGCCACCAAGCTTCTCCCTCCTGCTATCTGAGTCTGATGCGACTGTACCTCATCCAAACAGGGAACCCAACCTGAGGGAGCCCAGGAGAGCCCTGAGTGCAGCCCTGTCCAGCTCCCCTTGCTCACCTCCTCGTAGTCATTCTCAGGTGTGAGGAAGTCATCCACGATGGTGACCCTGTGTCCCAGCTCCTCACTCAAGGCGTCCAGGAAGCGATCTGTGTCCCGGCTGCGGGGGGGCCTGGAGAAGGTGAAGAGTTTCTTCCGTCGAGACAGTGGGCTGAGTGTGTAGTCCATGTGCTTGGGTGAAGGGGCAGGGCTGCTGTCTAGGCTGACGTAGGGGTTGGACTCTGTGCTGCTGGGGGAGGGGATGCTGCTGTGTGGGTGGTAATAGCACTGCTGGGAAGGCAAAGGATCACTCTGCCAGGAGATCGTCATCCCCGACTTTCGAACACCTGCAGGAAACAAACAGTGCTGCAGAGTAGACTCCTCCAAGCCTACATCTCGTTTAAAAGCAGGGCTATGAACATTTCCTGTGGTCTAACACGGATGCCTAGACTTCACCCAGCCACGGGTCACTAGAGCAAACTGTTTGGAGCTCCAATGTCTGTGTACAATACAGCAACCTTGATATAAAGGTGCAGACTGGAGAGATGATAGTTGCCAGTATCTATTATCTATCCTGATCTGAGCAGAAACTTCTTGGATCAAACCAGAGCATGGCAACTCCCCAATCCTCCCCACTGAAGAGGAAGGTCACATTCTAGAATTCTGTGGGCCCCCTTAGACTCATAGGCTGCACCATTGCCTTCCTTCGTATAAAAAGTTGCGGTGATGTGGTGCACAGACCCCACACTGACCAAGAAGGGGTTAATTAGGGTTCTGGGTTCCATAAGCCCTGCCCCAATACACCTGCGAGAGCTGTCAAGCCTGGAGGGAAGGTTAAAAGGCGGAAAGCCCAGCTCAGTAGTGGCTGACCAGCAGAGAGAGGGGACGTCTTACGCTAGCTCCTTGAAAGAAGGAGTGGATGCAGCCAGGGGATGTTTATAGACTACCTGAAAGGAAGTGTGGCTGGGGCCAGGATCTAGCATCTAGCGGTCTCTGGAGAGAGTCTCCCTGGGGGTAGGTAGGGACGGTTACACTTCACACAACTAACATGTTTTTCTTTTGGACCTGGGAGATTGTGTTTGTTGTCCTGCCCAAGCCCTGCTTAAGGTCAGAGTATGACCAGGGAATCAACAGGCCCTTCACCCACTTTCTCCCCAAAAGAGGATGACTGCCTGCAATAAACCTGTGATGACTTCACCCTCCTGGAGCCCATGCAGTAATCTGTCATGAGACCTCAAGTGACTTGATCCCAGGTGCAAAGAGAAATGTAACACAATCCTGGGACTTCATAACTAGCACCAAACCTGCATGTTGCAGGTCATCATACCAGCTAGAGCAAATGAACTGCCTCCATCCCAAAACCAGGAGAAAGAAAGCCTCTACCTGCAGCGTTTGCCTGGTCTGGGACAGGGGGTGAATCTCTGTGTGTGGTGGCATTAGCCATCTTTCCTGCAAAGCTGCTGATCAGGCGATTTTCTAACTCTGCATAGACAGCCGACATCTGAAAGCAAAAGGGGAAAAACAACCATAAATGTCCAACTCTGGAAGTGTCTGAAAACGAGTGACGTAAAGGAGGAAGGCTCTGTGTCCCATCCCTGATCCCAATTGCTCTCTATTATTGATTGCATTAAAAAATCACCCTTTTTTAAGGAGCATTTGGCACTAAAGGAAGATGATTCCCTCTTTTCTGAATCTCACACAGTTCACGCTCCCTGATTAGATTGTACCAAGGCTTTGAAAGATGCCCGTACTGTTAAAGCAACTGACTGCCAGGGTAATTTGTTTAGAGAGCCACTCTGATGAGATGCTGAAGGGATTGTGTCTGGCATGGGAAGCAGATACCAAGATGAAACATTTGCATGCAGCTCCCTTAGCACCCTTCCCTTGTTTATCTACCTTCTGATGTGAACCTAAAATAAAGTCAAACTGTTCTGCTGTCCTGTGAAGTCAAAATGTTACATATTCATTGAGCAAGACGCTGCCCAGGAAAGCTCCTCTCTCCCAGCCACCACCTTCCTCACAGAAAACCCACCCAAACAGCTGCACACATAGATAGCCAAGGTTCAAACCATTTTGGGGTTGGGAGTCTCTGGAAGGGATGTGCCGTCACCCGCTTGCCTCTCTCCAGGCGTCAGTCGACTTGATACTTCCCCAGTGTCACTGTGACCTGCTGGGAAAGGAAAGAACTGCCAGTGATGTCCCTTGTATGAGCATCCTTTGATTTCACTGCTGCACCTGCCCACCTCTCACTACTCAGAGAAAAGGGAACATCCACTCACATGAGACTAAGGGCCTGATCTCATCTTCCCTGTGGACCCAAATATCTCACTCCCTTCAGCGGAATCTTTGGATGCGGAACAAGGATAGTTCAGACTTTATGGACTGCACAGTCCCCAAACCCTGAATGAATGATGAAGAAAATGACATATTTCCTGCTGCACTGTGGGTAATTTGTTAAAAGCTTCATTTAAATTGGCATCTACACTGTAGGACAGGGTCGCTCACTAGGGAAAATATTTGTGTAGAACACGCAAATGTGCAAAAATATTTTAATTATGACACTTAGCATGGAGACACCAGACATCACACAAGGAATTAGCTGTGGTCTAGTGATTGGAATACAAGCCTGGCAGCAAGGAACACCAGAGTTCTAACTGCATTTCAACAGCTAGACTTATGCTTGGGGGCAAGACACTTTGCCTCTCTGTGTTTATAAAATGAGGATATTTAGTGTTCACCTGCCTACCTTGCTGGTGGGTTGGTGTGAGGGTTCATGTAATTTCTCACTGTTTAAAAGGTGCTTAGCATTATTATTACACTATAATCCATGATGCACTTTACTGGTGTTGCACAAATTTTCAGCACCAGTTGCACGGTCTCTAGTACAATGTTGGGAGGAAGGAACATTACCCAGTTTGTCATTAGGTATTTCTAATGTATCCATCATGGTGCTGTCAAGGTATCTTGTTACTGCAACACCAAAGGTTTTCTCCTTTTTTAATAAATCCCTGGATATTGTTTCATTAAAGACACTTCACCCTAGTTGTCATGTGCTGGATAACAGATGAATCCAGAATCACTGCAAATGAAAAGCACGTGCCACAGATTCTGAGCTGTCACCAGAATAAAAGCAGGAGCACAAACAGTGAGGGTGAGACAAGGTAAGCGTTGGGACTCACAGGGTTACAAGGGGGACTATGCAGATAGAACAGCTTTCCTAGGACAGCCACTCCACTAGCAACAGGCTAGCAGGCATATTCCTAAACTCATTTTCCTCTGTGCCAAATGTGTCAGAGTGTTTTTTCTGAAGTTGCCATTAATAGCTGGACTTTGTCCATTCAGAGCAAACGGGTCAAAGTCAGACCTGGTGTGAGTGGGTGGCACACCATGGCTTTCTCGGGAGATGTGCCTGCTTATACCAGGGCTGAATTTGGCCCTAGATTTGGAGATAAAAATATCTGGGCTGAAAGGAATGTAAATCTCTCCATAGGCTCTTTAACATTTGGAAAAAGATGGGGATTAAAAAGCATTTCCTCCCTGGCAGTCACTCACCCGCGTTTCTAAATAGAACTGGGAGTCTGAGCCTGCTCTCAGGAGAAGTGGCCACGGCGGCCAATCAAACCATTAACCTCAGGCCAAAGAACCAGATCGGCCATAAGGGAGAGATGGGCTGCAACTTAAAGCTGAGCAAATCAGTTTAACAAAAAACTCTAACTGAGTTCAAACACTGTCAGACCGTCCCACCCTGCAGCATTATTGCTCATGGTCAGAGGAGTTCCAGGGGCTTCTTACTTCCTGCTGGACATGGAGGGGTTAAAATACAGCCGAGGGACAGATCCCCATCCCATCTCATGCCCTTGTGCTATAAAAGGACACCCAGATGTAGTAGAGCCAGCACTCCAGGTGTGTGTTGGGGCAGGAGGGGATATGGCTGGAACACCTTGTACTCCAATGATCCTGGGCCAGCCGGATGGCCCCTACAGGGTCACTATAGTTTATGCATAATGCCACCTTTGCTCCCCTTCTTGGGGACTGGAATCCTGGGGTCCTCACTCAGTCCTCAGGCGAAGTGCCCACTGCCTTCAATGAAGCTTGCCTGAGTAAATGCTGAGTAAGGCCTTTAGGCTTTGACCCGCTGAAATCAATAGGTAAAACACCTGAGCAAGGCCTGAGTAAAATCTAGAGAAGGAATTTAGGATTTGCAGCTCAACAGGCAGAAATTCACCAGGCACCCTGCAAATCCAGCAGGTGCGGGTAGCTTGGGTTACATTCAAAGAAGCCCCTGTTTTTGGGTGTTCATCTGAATCTCTGGCACTTTTGCCACTCCTCACTAGCAGTAAATAGCAGACAGGCTGATACTATCTTCCAGTTTAGATTCTTTGTCACCTTGACCTCGAAAACCTTTTTAAACATGTGGTTTGTGCAATAAAGACAGCTGGAAATCTGCTGGGTATTGTCTATTCCCAACACTCTCCTTTCAGTTTGGGACTAGTTCATTCCAAATATTATTAGGACAACAGGTCACGCTTTCCTCCTGCTTTGTTTTTTCAAAAGGGCAGCTGAGGACAATATTCCTAACCTAACAGATGCCAAATATCTGTCTGGAATGTGAGGCTTCCCTCTGGCTAATGCAGTTGTCTTGCATTCCATGCGTTAATGTCAGTCACAAGAAATCCCCCTCAGCAGCAGGTTACTGGATTCTCCCAGTAGAAAGTTCTTCTAACTGGCGGCTCTGATAGCATCCTCCTTTGATAGCTCAGTAACACTACAGTCCCTGTTAATGGTGACAAGTTCACATGAGGACTTAGGTTCCCATTTTTAAAAGCCCCATTATCCTCCAGGTTAGAGGCACCTGAGGCTGTTACGTCAGAGGAACATGGCTGGTTATGGTGAGTCGCATGGTGCTGAGAAACCAATGAGTGAGAAAGCGCCACAGTTAGAATTCTATTCTGCACTGGGTGCCAGCTGCTAAAGGGAGGTGAACTGGCTGTGACTGCATATCCAAACTATCAAGCGGGATCTGGCAGAGAACTGAGGTAGAAGGATGGAGCCAGCAGCAGTGTGATACTCTCCTAGGGAGAGCTGCAGGGGTTTCAGGATGCTGGAAGGAGGCCCTGAAGGAAGGTAAGGAGGCTCTGCCTTATCATGGGAGGAGGAATGAGGTGTTTGCTGAGGACAGAAGGAAGGCTATATCAATCCCCCAGTGCAATTCATGCACTGAGAGTGGCTGGACAGGTTAACAAGCCAGGACTCCTTCAGAACCAGCGTTTGTGGTCCTGGGGACTTTCCAAACACCATTTTAGGTGTGAGCCTTGGGAGGTCTGGACAAGCAATGATGAGATCCAGAAAGAACTACGGATCCAGACAGACAGAAGTGAGCCTCATCCTTTAATGCTGCAGAAAGGCTTATCCCTGGAAGAGCCTCAGTGCAGGGGCTGTTTAGATGATTATTGCTAATCCACTGGCCTGGCGGCCCACTGTAATTCTCCCTGGCTGCCCCTCTGAACAACGTTAGGGACCCTGAACAAACAACTTACAGCCTCCACCCAGGCAGCTTTTCCATTAGGACTTTCTGATGTTAAATACTTTGTTCCTTGTCTGAACAAAAGTGGATTTGCTGCCACGGACTGTGAGCCTGACTCTCTGCTAGATTGTACCTAGTGCTGCTATTTAGACCAGTGTCAAATCAAGGACTGAGCTGGAACAGCTAGAAATCCTGCATCTTGGGTCTGTGTCCTCTGGGCCCAGGATAAATGGGAAACAGCCACAAGAGCTCTCCAAAGGGAATCTTAACAGAGCAATGAATTACCTACCTCCTGTCCCCCCTTCCTCAGGGCCTCGCGTTCGAATGCTTCCCCGACATACTGAAGCCCCTCGAACTGAAGTCCGGTGCCGTTCCTCTGCCCCTGGCTCTGCTGCAGCTGTAAAGAGCCTTTATAAGTTACGGTCTGTCTTTGCAAGATGCACTGGCTCCCAGTGCTCCTCACCTACCATCTTCCTATTAATTACAGAGGGACAACCCCAGGGACATTCATATTTGCAGCTGCTGTTGACCACAAAGTTCTGTGAGCCTGAAATCCCACCCCCACATGGGGACAGGATCCCAGCATATATGGCTCATCAGGAATGACTCCAGAGGGAAAGAGTCAACCTTCTCTTTCTCCGCCCTCTAAGGATGGGCTCCTGGCATGCAAAGCAGTCTATACTGCAGTGCAAGCTATAAGAAGAAATCTCCAAAACCACAGTGTTGATGCTGGTGTTGGGTAAAATAATCTTAGCATTATACCAGAACCTAGAGGTTATGGTGTTCAGTGCCTGGCAGGTAGGCACTCAGACAGACATCCATGAAACATTACTACAGTGAAGACGACCATTTGGTTTGGAACTAGATCAAATGAAGAGCTACCCTAAATTTGGGGCGGTTTGGCCTTCATGTTCCCAAACATGGGTATGCACACACTGTACTAGAGTACATGGAAAGTCACATGAGCACAGACTGACCTTTTATGGAAGGGAGCACATCCATCGATTCCTACTTGTAAGGTCTGAATACCAGGAAGTCCTGGTTTCAATTCTGCCTCTGAAACTGTGTGGCCTTGGGTAAGTCACTTCAACACCCTGTGCTTCACCTCCCTCATCTGTAGAATAGGGCTAGTAATGCTGACTCCGTGTAGGGCATTCTTAAATTACTATCTGTAAAGTGCTTTGAAGATGAAAAGTGATGTGTATGTGCCAAACAATATTATTAATCCATTCAGTAACCCAAGCTCACATCAAATGACCTGAAGTAGATACATATCTAATCTAACCATATACACGGGGAAAGGGCTAACTTTCAAATAGCATCACCTGTAAAATACATATCTGTGCATGAAAAAGAACACATACATGTATAGTGGGCTCAATTACATGTTTGTAGCACATTTTACTTGCGCAACTTAAATGCTTATGTTTGAAAACTGCATTCATAGAATAGGAAAGCATGACCCATTCTCTACCAGTGTTAAACTAAGTGAAAACAGGCAACTGAAATCAAGACTTCTGATCTGTCTCCTGACATTATTCTGACGTTAATAATATCATTTAAAGTCTTCATTTTGAATGTCAGGGCCTCACTGCTTGGAATGCTCATGTAACAATATGCATGTTTGCCCACTTATTCTGAATGCACGAACACAGTCATGTTAATTGTATGTGCAAATTAGGTGAGCAAATACACAAGCATTTTTCCATGCACAATTCAGAACATGTGTGCCCACACTGCAAGAGCTGGTTGCTCCTACACAAATGACTTTTCCTTCGTAAACAGATGGTGTGTAAAAAATAAAAAAGAAAGAAAGAAAAAGGGTGCCTCAACAAGTCCTCCCCTTCTTCAAACTGAAAACTCTTTCCTGCAGTTTTAGCCATGATGGGTTTAAAATAAACTTATCAGCTAAATGTAAACGGTTTAAAACACAGGAATGTCAAAGTAATTAACAAATCTAGATACAAAGATTAAAACCTTTCATTCAAATTTACCCTCTGCCTTTTTGCTGTCTGATTGTGAAGCCCATAATCCACAGCACACCACAGTTGGTTTGTATGTTGCCACAGCAACGACAGCTAGTGACAAGGAAGAAAAGGTAGGTGCAGACTCCTTCACTGCAGGATGCAATGTGATTTGCTAATGCCACCCTAAATCTCTGGGACAGAACAAAACCTCCTAGGCAGGAGCCTCCTAGGCAGAGGCTGGAATCAAGCATGTTTCTCACTTTCTTTGTGTTATCTTTTGATGGTCCTTAATTTTAACTGAACCCTAATTGTAGACATTTCTTTATGCCACATGTTGGTGACGTCAGGGAAGAAACTGCATCCATTATTTACCTCTGACTGTCTCAGATGCATTCTGCCCACTAAACCATCCATCTACTCCTGGGACTTCTATCATGCTACGCTTCTGAGCAGCCTTCAAAGAGCCACCATTTTTTAAGACAACCTATCACAAAAATATTTTTCTTTTTTTCCTCCAAAATGTGAAGTTTTCTTCCAAAGTTACACTGGTCCAAGGTACAGGAAGAGCAGCCTTCAGTCCCGGACTACTCCCAAGTTTAAAGATCAATATCTCATGAATGATCAGGGCTAGAAACTGAGGGTCCTGATTCTGCACTGTCTTATACCATGGATAGTCATTTACACCTGTGCAAAGCGGATGTACAACACTGCCATTCTGATCAAGTAGAATTTTACACCCAGTCTTCACAGGTGTGAGTGACTATACAAGGTGCAAGGCAGGGGAGAATCAGGCCCCAGAGCTCTGTCCCATTCAAGAAAGGATGGCAAGCCACCCTTTCTAATGAAATTCACCACTTTTTTCTAGCCCTAGCACAACACAAGATATTTAACCTAACCTCCACTAATCTTAGGCAGCTCTTGACAATGTGATAACATGCAACAAGTCCTGATCCCCAAGGACGTCAAGAGACACAGCGTGCACATGTCAGAGTACAGGAGCTTTCCTCTCACCTGCCACCAACTTGTAACCAAGGAACCTGGCAATCTTTTGCTGGCAGTGCTCCTGCTCTTCATATGTCAATAGCTGGTAGATAAACTGCCAAATGATCTGCTTGACTGGTGTGTCCAGCACAGGGTACACATCCACTATAAGAGTATCGATGTTCCTGCACAGGTGAAAAGAGAAGGCAAGACAATGATCACCTACTTTTGCTGCAGTATTCCTTCCCATGAAAACTCCCTTTTTGTTTCATCACTTTCTGTCCTATATTTTAGGTTTTAGATTTTAGCTCCTGTAGCCAGGGGCTTGTCTCTTATTTGTCTGTGTAATTGTACTGGGCCCTTTATAAGCAGGCACTGCCAGCCCATTTGGCATGGCACCGGTACTTGTCTCTTTAAAGCAAGAGAATTCTGGGAAATGTAAAAAGAAAAGGAGTACTTGTGGCACCTTAGAGACTAACCAATTTATTTGAGCATAAGCTTTCGTGAGCTACAGCTCACTTCATCGGATGCATACTGTGGAAACTGCAGAAGACATTATATACACAGAGACCATGAAACAATACCTCCCCCCACCCCACTCTCCTGCTGGTAATAGCTTATCTAAAGTGATCACTCTCCTTACAATGTGTATGATAATCAAGTTGGGCCATTTCCAGCACAAATCCAGGTTTAACCAGAACGTCTGAGGGGAGGGGGGTAGGAAAAAACAAGGGGAAATAGGTAGCCTACCCCCTCCCCCCCCAGACGTTCTGGTTAAGCCATAGTAACTAATATCCAGTGGAAGGGAGAGGGGAGCCAGGCTGCTTTTCCCAATGAATGCCAGGGCTCTAAGAAAGGTGGTCCTGAGCAGCCCTTCTGGGGACATTATCACTCCTAATATCCAAATGTCAGGCCTGATGATGGCTTTATCAGCATTGTCTGAAAAAGGGTAAGGGTCAAGGGTAGAAAACAAGTGCGTTATTGAAGCTCTCAATGCCTCCATAAGATCAGTTTCAAGGCCTGCAGCAGGGCAAAGAGGATGTGTTCAATTACAGGAAGAAAAGTTTGCCAGCGGGAGGCATTCTTGTGCTAAGGCCAAGGGAACACATTTGCCAAAATGCTGAAAGGAGCAATAAGAGAGGAATAAAATGCAATGAAAACTAAACAAAAGGGGCTGACTGTCAGAACAGGACATGCTGTTGGCTCAGGGTCTGTCCAGGCAGCCAGAGACCCCTAGCTGCATGAAAAGAACAAGGTAATTTTTATGTTGGAATAAGGGTGAATGGGTGAATTAGGGGTGAATCTCAAAAGGTAATAAGTTTGGATGATTCCCTGACCCCTCAGTGGGTTGGGCATCTGGCCAGATGGGGCTTTCCACCCTGTTACCTCAATGCTTTCTCTGATGGATATGTACAGGGTAGGTATGGAATACAGATCGGTACCCTAGTGGATGCTCATCACTTGTGGGAGAAGAGAAACTGCACCTCATGTTGCCTTCCAGCACCCTTAAACAGCAGCCCTGAGTATCTCAGTAGGGGAGCAATGGCCACATCTCCTCATCCAGAGCAACAGTCACTGTGATACAGGGCCCCGCAGATAGTTGGGGAACATAGCCAAGAAAGTAAGGAAATCTCAGTTGAATCCTTTACACTGTTCTGGAAAGATCCCTTCAAAGCCTTATAACAACTCAACAAATCCATCCCAGGTTTACTCTGGGACCAGGCATAACGGGAAAGAACAAAGTTTTGGGCTTGATCCTGCAAAGTGCTGAGTGACTTCAACTCTAAGTGAAGTCAGTGGGCATTGAGGGTGCTCAGCATCTTACAGGATCAAGTCCTTAATCCCCATAATCAGTACAGTGCAGGTATCTAGGTAATGCTGATATGGTCAATAAAGCTGATGTCTGTTCCAATCATAGAATCATAGAGGATTAGGATTGGAAGAGACCTCAGGAGATCATCTAGTCCAACCCTCTGCTCAAAGCAGGACCAAGCCCAACTAAATCATCCCAGCCAGGGCTTTGTCAAGCGGGGCCTTAAAAACCTCTAAGGAAGGAGATTCCACCACCTCCCTAGGTAACCCATTCCAGTGCTTCACCCCCTTGCTAGTGAAATAGTTTTTCCTAATATCCAACCTAGACCTCCCCCACTGCAACTTGAGACCATTTCTCCTTGTTCTGTCATCTGCCATCAATACCAAGACTCAGTGCTTTGATCCAAGAAGCAGATTCTAATCAGGGACACCAACACAACCAACTAAAGGAGTACAGCATTTAACAAGTTACCGATGCTGGAAGAAGCTTTCTAGTGATTTGCAGATGATGTAGCGCTCGGGTGGTGTCAACAGACGTTCCAGCTGCTGATTGAAGGTCCTTCCTTGGATCTTGATGCTAGAAGGAAGTATCTCTGCCACCCACTGCAGGGAGGTGAGGGCTGAGGAGGGGTTTGGGGAGTCAGCAGACTCAGAATCTGCATCACATGGGCACAAAGGAAAGAGATTATTAAATGGATAAAGAACAGGAGGCAACACAGAATCTTAGCATCAGGTTTAGGCACCTGAATCCAGTTTCAGCCATAATACCTCTGGGGGAATCTGAACTCCAGCATGAAGAGGAGAAGTGATTTAAAGAGCTGGGAATGATTGCAGCCAAGTCTGCTGTGAAAAGACAAGGACTCAAGTCCACCAACACCTATCCCTGGTTTCAGAGTAGCAGCTGTGTTAGTCTGTATCCGCAAAAAGAAGTACTCCTTTTCTTTTTGCGAACACCTATCCCTGTAACTTCAAGGAATTTCTTCCCTTGGAGAAGAAACAAACTATCAAACTATCAAGGCCAAAGGGTCTCTAGCCTTTAAAACAAACCTAGAAAAAAACCTAACGTGCATAGCCTTATAGCTATACCTGACAATCCTCAAAACCTTCTGCCCTCATTTTATTAACTGTTCCACTTTTACATATACTCAGGCAAAACTCCCATTAGCTTCAATGCAAGTCTTGCCTGAACAGACCTCAAGAACTGGTTCAATCTTTGTGTCTCTGATCCCTGTATACCTGCAGCTTCGATTGCCCGGGCATCCTGGACTCTGCATCCTGTTCTTATCAGTAGGAAGGACTCTGATAAGGCCAGACCAGCGAGGTAGCGTAGAGTGTGAATTATGAGTGGAAACCCACCAAGACCAATATTAAAAGGAATGTGTGAGGGAGCATATGTGCAGCTTTGTCTCAGAATAAAACAGACCTAACAGACTAAATTCACAAAAACACTACAGCCACTGAAAAGCAATGTGGTGAAGAGGGTACTTTAGCTCGTCAGAAGAAGATACCCTGGCTGAACCACTGCTTATCATTAACCTTGCCATTCTCAAATGTGCTGAACCCCATATAAACAGAATAAACTATCATGGAGCTTCTATTGTTTCAATAGTCCTGACATTTAATCAGTACAAAAAGAGACTTTCAGACCTTTCTCTGCTCTTTTGGATATGGTTTACGTCCTCTCATGAGTCATAATTTCTAAAGTGAAGGATTCTTTTTAAGAATAGCAAATATACACAAAATCATATACTTTCTTTTTCTATAGAACCTTCTGCTGAGAATCTCAAAGCACTTTACAGACATGAATGTACTTAGCCCTCGCAACACCCTCTTTGAGTGCAATATTACTCAAATGTTATATTTGGGTACACTGAGGCACAAAGAGGTCAAATTACTTTGCCACAGTCACGCTGTACTGCTCCTACCACCGAAGTGCAGCCACCTCTGGAGTGGAACACAGCAGCTGTTTAGCAGCGCACTGCAATACTGCACAACCGTCTGAGACAGGAAATAAAGAAAACTGTATCCAACAGAACCTAGAGAGGGAATTTAGGGCTACAAAATGGAATTACCCAAGTAGGCATTTGGCAAGGCACCAGACCTAAAAACCAGTTCCTTTTTTTTTTTTGCGAGGAAGGATTGTCCAGTGGTTGGTGCACCAGCCTAGGTGTCCCAGGTTCAATTCCCTGCTCTGCCACTAACTTTCTGTGTGACCTTGGACAAGTCACTTAGCCTCTTTGTGCCTCAGTTCCCAATCTGTGATAATAGCACTGCCCTCCCTGACCGGGGTGCTGAGAGAATAAATCCAATAAAGACTGTAAAGTGCATTGGGATCTACTGATGCAAAGTGCTATGTAAGAAATAGGTATTAATTATTATTATTTATTATTATTCATTATTAAGTAGCCAGGATTCCAGTTTTCCTTCTCATCCAAAAGACAGCACTTTCAGCAGCACCAAGCCCCTAACACTTGGCTCTGGAATGGTTTCAGTAGTGAGGGAAAGGGAACAGCGCCATTCATGGAATCCCAATAGTATTTCCTGAGGCTAGGTGTTCCTTGGCAGCATTCCAACAAAATACTGACCAAGCCTGCCCTGGGCTTAGGAAATGACTTAGGGCTTGTCTACACTGCACCAAAGTACAGATGATGGGAGCGTGAACTGTAGGCACCACAGTGCTGTGCTCTAACTGGCCCAAGTGCAGGCTGCTGGCATGAACTGAAATGTATCTAGTTCATGTTACTGCACTCCTGTTTGAAAGAGGACTATGTTCACGCACCTTTTAGTTCACACCCGCAGCAGCCACACAGGGCAGTTAGAGCGTAGCGCTTTGGTGCACTCTGTAATTACACATGCTCCCCCCACCCACCTTCCCATAGGCCACAGTGCAGTGTGGACATAGCTTCAGTCACCTATACATTGTGGGCCAAGCTCTCCTCTCCGCTGCACTGAAGTCAATGGAGTTGCTCTGGTGAAACAGTAGAGTTTGCCCCATATGTTCTGATGACTCTGACATTCTCACCACAAGTTACACAGGATAAATTATTCTGAACACAGCAGAGTTACATTAAATAAGAGGTACAAAATTACATATTCAGCAACATATGCACTGGTGTGTTCATTTAGTCATATACACAGCACAGGCTTTGAATGCAGGTCATTCTAAAGGGCCAGCACAGGAAACTAACAGCAGTATGGTGATCCCTTGGATAGCAGTGTGTGTCTAAGACCAAGCTTGCTCCCTCAAGACTGGCAGCAGCAACTCTGACTGCAGAGGAAAAATGCTCAGCTGTCGCGGGAGGAACTACCTTTCATCACTGTCCAGTGACTCTCCGGCTAACTCAGGAGCAGTGTCAGGCTGAAGCCAACATGTGAAATTTGTTGGGTAGCATAGGAGAAACCTGGCAGATTCCTTCACCAGGTTTAGTGGTTTGAAGGATAGTCATCCCCACCCCACCCCCAGCCCCACCATGCACTGACACGGCAAATTCACAAGTGAATTCCAGGTTTTCCGTTCTGTCTACCTGTTGTGCATTTCTCTTTAATAATCTTACCAACTGGAAAATGGATCATCCCTTCTTCCACAACCAGGGTAGGCATGGCCCCACTGCCCTGCAGCATGGACACCACCTTATCATGGGAGCAATTCCTGCAGAGCCAGACAAAGAGAACCCAGATAAATAACACTTTCAGAGTCTGCACTGCACCCACCATTCGTGACATGGGCATCTCTGAAGTCTCCTAAGGATGGAAAGGGTTGACAAGAAAAGTAGGACTCATCTAACAGGAACATAACAAGTTTGGGGGGGACACCCAAACCAGGGCACAATGGCAGGTGTTTGACAGCTGCACCCCTTGGTATAAAATGGAGAAGACCACAGCTGCCTTCATCTTTAAGACTGGGACTATAAATTCAGCATGCTGCTCAGACTGAGTATGGTACTCTAGCTGTAGTCTTCCTGGGCTGCAGCTCTGCATTAGAGATGTAGGAGCAAATTCTGCTCATGGTTACATCTATCCCATGCAGAACAGAATCTAGCAGTGGATCTCATTGTAGAACATTTATGGGATGTTCTTGGCCATGCCTGCAGCATGGAATAACTACAGAGCATGTATATGGAGGGAGTCAAGGAGTCTGTTGTGGCTAATGATGAAGGCACTTCTGCAGCTCATGCTGACACACTCCTTAACTGATCTTTCCATCTAACATGATACACTTTCACAGAGCCTTGTCTCCCACTTCTCTTGCTACATAAAGAGAAGATCCAAAGTGAGGACGAAACACGTTTTTCCTGCTGATGGTATTGCCATTTTTGGATAAAGTACAAGCAGACCTGAGACACTGTTTGCCAAAATGCAGGATCAGAGGGTAATCTACAAATAGTCTCAGCTGTTTTCTGGGGATGCTGCTTCAGCCAAAAGTTTGCTGAATCAGCTGAAAACCGAGAACTCAGGAACCAGCCAAAGTGGCATTAGATGTTTAACCTTTAAATATTAATCACTCTTTTACCATGCAGACTGTTCTAGCACTTCACTTCTGCTTATTGTTCAGTAAGATTTAGCCCTAGAATAAATGCTACTGTCATTGTATAATGGGACACAGAGCGAGCCAAGATTTGGTGGGGTTGGACTGCTTTGTTTTTTATAATCCTTGTTAGTGCAAATAGTAGGTGGAGAAAAGTAGTTCTGGATGGAAATACTACTGTCTGTGTAGTTTTATGCTCAGGATCCTGTTCCAGGGGTGATCCATGGATTGGTTTGTACCTTGCCCCTTCCACACTGTGTAACACATGGAACTGAATTGACACTGATTCGAGTCAGAGGTTCCAGGATTGTTACTTTTAAGAGCTGTATTGTTTATATTATTTCACGCATTATGCATGGCTATTGGCAGAATGAACTGTAAATAAACGAAGGGAATGGAAGACAAGAGTCTGGAATACTAATCTTACAGAAATGATAATATTAAAATAAAACATTTGCATGAGACCAGGATCACTGCAGAGACATCTATGCCTGCATATATATGTTACACACACACACACACACACACACACCCCTTGCACAAAAGCACCTCAGACCTTACATAAGTAGCCACTTAGTGCACATACCTACCATATCCTTCCTCACAAACTTGCACACCTCTCATGTTCATGAAGACAGCTGTGCTTGGCTATTTCACACTATCCTGGGTTCTCATAAAAAAATGGCCACACTGGGTCAGACCAATGGTCCATCTAGCCCAGTATCCTGTCTTCCAACAGTGGCCAGTACCAGACGCTTCAGAGGGAAAGAACAGAACACAGTACTTATTGAGTGAGCCATCCCCTGCCATCCAGTCCCAGCTTCTGGCAGTCAGAGGTTTAGGGACACTCTAAGCATGGGGTTGCATCCATGACTATCTTGGCTAATAGCCACTGATGGACCCATCCTCCATGAACTTATCTTTTTTTAATCCATTTATGCTTTTGGCCTTTACAACATCCCCCAGCAATTAGTCCCACAGGTTGACTGTGCATTGTGTGAAGAAGTACTTCCTTATGTTTGTTTTAAACTTGCTGCCTATTAAGCAGCATCATTTAAGCCATTTTGAAGATACAGTTTTAACAGCCAGCATCTCACCTCATATCCAGTCCATTGAGAAATAAGATTCGGTCTCCAGCTTTGAGAGCAGCCTTCTCAGCTGGGCTGCCTAAATACAGGAGGAAATTAAATAGGTCACTTAGCTGTACTGGTCTTTTAGTGTGGGATGCATTAAGGCTGCTGACAAAGTAACATGCAGATTGTGGATATGGTTACAGTTACAGGGGACCTCTGCTTAGAGGGAAGTTAGTCTATTGGAAGAATGACTTCACTAGAAAAGGTCCAATTCATAAAGATACTCTGGGGCAAAGCAGCTTGACAGCATCAAAGGGCCGAGAGTTTACGCTAAAGTAATAAAAACAAATAATGTTTCTGGCAGCCATTCAGACTAGATCTTGGGTGTAAAGCTCAATGTCACCTGGTAATGTCAGGTTTCCTTACCAGGCAGAATGGACTCAATCCACACGGGGGCATGTCCACGTAACGTGAAGCCAAAGCTTTTGCTGCCTTTGTAAACTCGAACAGTTCTGCAGGTGGAAAATCAAAAATCAAAACCTAAAAAGCTTTTGGTTCCTGTTTCATATTCCCTTCCTCCATCATGGCACGTTTTGGACCTTTTTCACACTGGATTTCACTAGCACTGAATTGGGCGCCCTCTACTTAAGGTGGATACAAATTGATGATTTTTTTTAAATAAAAAAATTCAGATTTTTTTAAAATTTAAATTAGATTTTTTAAATTTAAATCAGAGTTTTTGGTTTAAATTAAATGCAGGTTTATTTTTTAAACATAAACCTATTTAAAATTGCCAACCAATGTTAAAGCCTAAACTTATTATAATCTATTAAAATCATTACAATGAAATACAGAACAAGAATACTAAGCCTGACATGTTTTCTGCCAAATTTTAAGAAAGTTCCAAATGAAACTTTCTGGAAGCTAAAGCTTAGCGTGCATTAACATGAGAGCTTTTGGCACAGAGCAGATGGGGGACTGAGGAGAGAGGAAGGGATGCCAGCAGCAGCAAGAGCTGCTCAGGTCTTGGAAGGAGAGTCAGAACACCCACTCCTGCTCTCCTTTGGAAATTTCCTTTCTAAGTCGTTAATTAACAAATGTATAATGGTGCAGTTTAGCAGAAATACTATATTCTTAACATGAAGACACACAGACATGGTTACCTAAAGATGCAAACGATAGGGGGGAAGAATTACTTGAGGTGATACTAAGACTAAATGAGCAAGGAAAATTTGGGGTGAGCATAAAAAAAAAAATCTTCCCCTCAGGAGGTTTGTTAGACTGTGGAATTGTGTCAGGGAAATGATGGAAGCCCTCTCACTTGGGCCACTTAAAACTAGACTGGATACAGCTGTGGAAAGCTTGTTATAAGGACTGATCCTGTGCTGGCAGGGAGAGGGACTGCATGGAGTTTTGATTAGTTCCATCTCTGGCTTCTGTGCACCAAACTCCGCCCTGACTTCCATAAAGGTGTACCTGGTGTAAATCGGGGCAGAATTTAGTTTGCTGATTCTGTGAAATACAACAAGGATGCAAGAGCAAGGGAGAATCTGTGTTATAACCCCCGTTGGGAGGTACCAAGGGACCACCCTCATTCCACCCTGCTTGCAACATTCTCTTTGTAATTAGGCAATCCTAATCCTGTGGCTCCCATGGGCAGGACAGGATGGGGCTTTTCATGCTTTTGTATTAAGATGAGAGTTTTTTATTGAAAATGCTGAATGGTCTGAACTGGCCCAACATTCTGGTGTTACTATGGCACATCTAATTACAGTTAGCACAAGCCTGAGATTTGAACTCAATATGTCGCTCTGGCCTGGCAGAAACTGGGAGTGCCATGGTGGTGACGTGCTGGGACCCAGAGAGACAGTAGCTTGGGTCAATCTGTAGACACTTCTGGACACTTTAGGCATAGCATTCATAAGCTCTGGAGAGAGCCACATCCAGCCCTTCTCAACCAGGGGGAGGTCCAGTCACTCTGACGTAGATAAGGAGGGGAGTCAAAGTAACTCAAGAGGGGAGACTCTGGACTACGAGAGAAGTGCGGGAGGCTCCTCTACACCTGGGGAGGGAACGGCCTGGTCCCAACTCGTGGGGAATCCTGCCTGCAGAAGGATTTGTTCTGTGCTTGTGCCCATCAGTAAGATTCTGGTAGGCATGTAAGCAATTTAAGCATCTCATGATGGCTTTACAGTCAGTCCCGTAGGAGGATTCACCAGCTGAGATGACAATGAAAAAAAGAAGCCAGCACATTCTTTTGTGAAGTATGAAATGAGATCGGGGGGAAGGGAAGGGAACACATATCCTGCTAGTCACTGGGGAATGGTTCAAACAGGCTCCTTGAGGCCTCCAAGCATTCTAAGGTCTAGCCACATAGGGGCCATGGAAATGGGTGTTTCACACCTCTCATCCCTTCCCCCAATTTCTGCTACAGCTTCTAGTGGCCTCCCATAGATGGTGCTGAGGAGTTCCCAGCAATCATACAATCCAGCATATGCTCTGAGAAACTGAACATTGTGCATGCAGCCTACAATGGGGACCTACATCGCATCAGACCTGGGCCATGCAGGAAGGAATTCCACAACCCCTAGCAGAGCACGCCCTCTTTCCCAGAAAGAATTCATTGAAACAACTTTAGAAAACCAACTGAAATGAAAGGATCTACCAGGAGATGGGTACTGTGACGTGGAGCCCAAACTTTCTCAGAGTTCAAAGGGGAAATGGCTAAAAAAAGGCCACAATTCAGTCTCATTTCTATACTAAATTCACTTGCTATGAGCCACCGAAGTCATGTTTTTAATCTCTTCCCTTTTCCCCATTACAGTGCACCTGCTTCTTCACAATAACCAAGCTTTGTTATACTAAAGATCAACCAGCTTTGCATTTGAAGATTAAAGGAAGGACGTTACCTGCGGGCAGCCCCTGATCCCACACTGCTGGTGATCAAAGAAGTTGTCTTCCGCAAACCCTTGCTGGCTTCCTCGTGGCTCCGAGGCACCGAGCTTGCCCTGGTCGACACTAGCAGCCGCTCCTGGTGGTCTTCGCTGCGGCTGCGCCTCAGCCGGTTGGTGTGCTGCTCGCTCTTTGACCGGCAGAGTTTGCTGATCAGGCTCTGGGACACCACTTCATCAAAGCGCTGCCGGTGTTTCTTGGGGATGAAGATCCTGGCAAACATGACAGAGGAGGCAAATCAGAAGAGGAACAAAGCCAGCAGCGTCCCAGTTGTGGTGGCAGGGCTCTGGGCTCAGCGTCACCTGCGGAAAAGTTCAAAGTGGCCTCCTGCAGCACTAAACCCCACTGCACCATAAATCCATCAGCCTTCCAAACAGCAACTCATGCAAGAATACCGGACCACACCCAGTGGGCACGATTATCACATCTTTGGCTAAATCACCTGCTGGATATTTTTGTAGGATTCTGTTGCAAAGTCCTCCCCACAACTCCTTACAGCTCCAGTCAATCCTGAAAAGGCTCTAATGCCACCCTCTATAGAGCGGCTGTAATTTGGGAGCAACGGCCGTGAAAACGAGAGGGATTTCTTCCAGCAGAGATGGATTTAAACGACTCTATTGCCCCCCCACCATATGCCCAGTCTCTGAATCTCCTTCAGCTACCAGTCCCTCTCTTCTGGTAATGACAAGGTTCAACTCGAATCCCAAGTTAAACACTTGCCCCATGCCAGGTAACTTCCCAAACAGCCGGGAATGAGGGAGGAAGAGTCTTGTCCCTGCAGTGTCTATTCTGTTGCCGACCAACAGGCTCTGTTTCCATGGGTTCTGGTAGTTCAACACTCCATTGATTTTTTTCCCTTCAGCATCTGGAACCGCTATGGTATTTGCTGTGTATATGAAGTATCATGGTTCTACAGCGTGTGTCGTAGCAAAAAGGATTTTTAAAGTTGATCAGCCTGATGGTAATTCATAGGAACTATGTTCTGACAGCAAAAGCAGGATGAAATCATCTGCCTTCCTCCAGGCATGCTCTATATTACTGATATTCAGGTGTATAAACACCCCCACACTAACGTCCCTGCACATTGAGGACGCCAAGCTACCACCTCCAGACATTTACTGTTTTTTTATTGGGACAATCTGCCTCACAGAATTTGGATATCCATCTCCCCTCACCCAACTTTCCTGCAATAGTATCTTAACACACACCAACACTCCAACTCCTCTGTATTTGAGCTTATCTCTTGGCTATGGGGGTGGAAGAGAAAGATATTGTTGTCTTTCTTATTCTTGGAAGATGCTCTGATATTAGGGTGATGGGTGCCAGTATAATAAGATTAGATAGGAAGAAAGAGATTACCAAGAACTGAAAGGCAGAAAGGAGAGAGATGCTAAACAGGGAGCTTTTAAACTCATACCATGTCTATCATATTAGCAGCAGCATTTGAGATATAGAAAATGCAAAGTGATTTTCTATAACAATTTCTCTCTCTCCAGCATACTGAATCCTAAGGAATCCCAAAGCACTACCCAAGCTATATACATACAGCACCATTAAAATGCAGCCACCTCTGGGGTGGAGGGAAGCAATCAGCACAACACTGCTGGGAGGAGGAGAAATTTTGGTGGCAGAAATCAGAGCAAACTGACACTTCTGAAAAGTGCCTCCAGGAACTTTAGTATCTGCACAAAAGAGACAAGGTATTGGATTTTCGGGTCTCCTATAAAAGACCCACATGCAGTAAACTGTATGGAACCCAATTGCTCTCCTTTGGCAGGACAAGGACAGAAATGGCTTAGGCCTCTAAGTCACCCCTCTAGCAGTGCCTTTCTAAGTTCTGTGGTTGGAAAGTTCAATCTCTTTACATTTGAGGATGTTTGTTTCCTTTTGGGTACCTGTGTTCACAGCACAGGGGACATTTGAATTCCTTCTGCATAGGCAGGCAGGGGGCTTCGTAGCAGTATGTTACAGAGCAGCCAAAGAAACCTTTCTTCTAAGGGTGGATTAAAAGTGTACTGAGCCAGAGTCAATACAAATGTTAGCATGTGCGCACCACTTCTCCCCCCGCCAGGGGTGAAAGTAAGTTAGAGGACAGGGGGTGTGGCCTCGACCGGAAGAGGCGTGGCCTTAACCAGAAGAGGCAGGGACTTATATCCCCGGGCCCTTTAAATCAAGATTTAAAGGGCCAGGGCTCCAGCTGCGGTAGTGGCGACTGGGAGCCCGGGGCCCTTTAAATCACCCCCGAGCTACCAGCTGCAGAGGCGACTGGGAGCCCTGGGGCTTGGGGGCGATTTAAAGGGCTCAGGGCTCCAGCTATCGCAGCGGAGCCCTGGGCCCTTTAAATCACTGAGGAGCCCTGGAGGCTCCCGGCTGCCACCACTATCCCAGGGCTCTGGCAGAGCTTTAAAGGGCCTGGGGCTCCGCTGTGGTAGCAGCTGCCAGAGCCCAGAGCCCTTTAAATCCCCGCCTGAGCCCTGCTGCCCGAGCCCTGGGGTAGGGGTGGGGGGGCTCTGGTGGGGATTTAAAGAGCCCCGGAGCTCCAGCCACCCCTACTGCCCCGGCCCTTTAAATCCCGACCGGAGCCCTGCTGCCAAAGCCCTGGAGTAGCGGCGGTGGGGCTCCAGCGGGCGTTTAAAGGCCCGGGGTGGTAGTGGCGGCTGGAGCCCCGGGGCCCTTTAAATCTCTGATGGAGCCCAGCCACCACTACCCCAGGGCTCGGGCAGCAGGGCTCAGGCGGGGATTTAAAGGGCTTGGGGCTCCAGCCGCCGCTACTGTCCCGGCCCTTTAAATCCCCTCCGGAGCCCCGCCGCCGTTACCCTAGGGCTTTGGCAGCAGGGCTTAGGCGGGGATTTAAAGGGCCCCGGAAGGGTAGCGGGGGCTGGAGCTCCGGGGCCCTTTAAATCCCCGCCAGAGCCCTGCTGCCTGAACCCCAGGGTAGTGGTAGCCAGGCTCCATCAGGGACTTAAAAGGCCCCGAGGCTCCAGCCACCGCTACCGCCCTGGCCCTTTAAATGCCCGCCAGAGCCCCACCGTCACTACCCCAGGGCTTTGGCAGCAGGGCTCCGGTGGGGATTTAAAGGGCTGGGACAGTAGGGGTGGCTGGAGCTTCGGGGCTCTTTAAATCCCTGCCATAGCCCCCCACCCCCACCCCAGGGCTCGGGCAGCAGGGCTCAGGCAGGGATTTAAAGGGCTTGGGGCTCCAGCCACCGCTACCGCCCCAGCCCTTTAAATCCCCTCTGGAGCCCCGCCGCTGCTACCCCAGGGCTCGGGCAGCAGGGCTCAGGCCAGGATTTAAAGGGCCCCAGAGCTCCAGCCACCGCTACTGCTCCGGGGCCCTTTAAATCCCTGCCAGAGCCCTGCCGCCACTACCCTGGGGCTTGGGCAGCAGGGCTCAGGCCGGGATTTAAAGGGCCCCAGGGCAGTAGCAGTGGCTGGAGCTCCGGGACCCTTTAAATCCCCGCCAGAGCCCCGCCGCCGCTACCCCAGGGCTCGGGCAGCAGGGCTCAGGCTGGGATTTAAAGGGCCCCGGAGGGGTGTGGGGGGGTAGCAGCGGCTGGAGCTCCAGGGCCCTTTAAATCCCCGCTGCAGCCCCGCCGCCGCTACCCCAGGGCTTTAAATTGCCCTCTCAGAAAGCCAGTCCTGGTACTGCGCACCGGCTCTTACCGGTACACCGTACCAGGGCGTAACGACTTACTTTCACCTCTGCCCCCCGCCCCAACAAAGATCCGCTTCCCCTGGCCTGACCGCGGTTTGTGCCATGCTTCCTGGTTGAATCAGAGTCATGTATTCCCAGGCAGTGCTCCCCCTGTCCCTTTCCATTGGGGGATGTGACCTGAGGAGCTGAAGGAGGTGGGGGACCGTGGAATCAGCGTGCATCTCTTCCTGCTTGTGACCTTCGCTAGCAGCAATCAGCTGTGCACCATGCCACCTGCTGCTCACTGCCTCACTGCTCTGAGTAGGGGATCTGGACCCCATGGCTCTTCCCTGTATCCTGACTTGAGTTTTCCCCTTCTAGTCTTCCCTTTGTCTTTCCATAGGGAACTTTGGCTTCCTAGTCAACATCAGTCATTGGTATAGATCCAGATCTAAACTTTGCTTTGACTTTCACCTCATGCAACCTCAGCCCAGTATCTGATAAGCAGAGTACAGCACACAGTACAGAGAGCTCTACTGCTGGGGTCATTTTGGCTGAAACCAATTTCCTGAGAGAGGCTTCGGCTAAAAGATTTGTGCACAACAGAGACCAACCTTGTTCTCTTTGTTACATTAGGTTCAGTGCTAGGGTGACCAGATGTCCCGATTTTATAGGGTCAGTCCCCGATTTTTGGGTTTTTTTGTTATATAGGCTCCTATTACCCCCTACCCCCCTCCCCATTTTTCACATTTGCTGTCTGGTCACCTTATTCAGTGCCAACTGAACCCCTTGAAGACCATATCTCTGTCTGATAAATATTATACATGCTCTCCGTCTTCATATGTCTGGCAAGCTGGAAAATACCAGGATCTACCAGCATACACAGAATTATCCACGGAAAAAAAAGATTCATTCAGGTTTTGAGTATATGAGAAAATTTCTTCTGCCTCTGCACGTCTCTTGTGTCGTCCCTTCTCTCGCAGTTTATTCAAGGTGAATCAATGATTCCCATGGAACTGATTAGCATGTTCCCACTAGGAGATCAGTAAACTCTCCAAAGTGTACAAGGAGGAGGAGCAGGCTCCCACCGTTAACAATGACTGTCTGGCTGACTCCCCCGGACCCTTAGCTTTCCAGTATAGACTAGTTCACATAGAAGACTGGTCTCCATTCAGTTTCTGAGCTTTTTTTTTTTTGCCAGTAATTGGCTCTTTATTATTAATTTTGGGCCAAGTTCTTACTTCAATTACATGCAGGCAGCCACACTGGCAGTACCATGGATGGCATGCACATCAGATAGTCAGAGGCCCCATTTTCCTGGATAAAGCTTCAGGCTTCAGCATGTGGAGCAAATTTTCATTTCCACTTACTGACTGGAATAGTGACTTAATGACATCCCAATTCACCCCAGTCCCACCCATTTGGTTTGCACTAGTTAGGGGATTATTGGGAAACTGGAATCCTTTAGCGTTTCTATAGTAACCATCCTTATAACTGAATATACCTCCATAGGGTGTCTTATTGTCAGTCTATTCTTCCACAGTTGTTCTTGTTCACTACCCAATACATTCTGGCTAGA